AGTGAGGCAAGTCCTAAGAAGCCAGCTCAATGGCAAGAACAAGACCCAGGCAATAAACAGCTATGCCCTGCCAGTGATCAGATACCCTGCAGGAATAATAAAGTGGACAAAGGAAGAGATCCAGACCACGGATGTTAAGACCCGAAAGCTCCTAACTCCGCATGGCGGGTTCCATCCCAAATCCAGCACCCTGAGACTGTTCTCAAACCGTAAGGAAGGAGGCCGGGGACGAGTGAGTGTGAGAGGCACTGTCCAGGATGAAACATCCAAGCTCCATGAATACATCAAGGAGAAGGCTCCAACAGATGACGTACTCAGAGAATGTCTCAGACAATGGGGAACAGAGGATGAGGTGCTGGAAGAGGGACCATCATGGGAGGACAAGCCCCTACACGTGATGTACCACCAGACCATAACTGAAGTTGCTGATCTCAAGAAATCATATCAGTGGCGAGAGAGGGCCGGCCTAAAGGACAGCACAGAGGCACTCATCCTGGCTGTTCAGGAGCAGGCCCTGAGCACCAGAGCCATTGATGCCCAGATATACCACACCAGACAAGACCCAAGGTGTAGGTTGTGCAAAGAGACGATCCAACACATAACTGCAGGGTGTCAGATGCTGGCAGGGAAAGCATACATCATGGGTGTCAAACTCAGTTCCTGGAGGGCCGCTGTCCTGCATGTTTTCCAAGTCTCCTTCTTGCCACACACCTGATTCAAATGGACAGGTTCAATGTCAGGCTTCCGCAGAGCTTGCTGATGATCTGATCATTTGAATCAGGTGCGTTGCAACAGGGAGACTTGGAATACATGCAGGACAGCGGCCCTGCAGGACCTGAGTTTGACACCCCTGGGCTACATGGAACGCTATAACCAGTTTGCTGGCATAGTCTACTGAAACATCTGTGCGGAGTATGGACTGGAAACCCAGAGGTCACAATGGGAAGCACCTCCAAAGTTGGGGGAGAATGACCGAGCGAAGATCCTGTGGAACTTCCAGATACAGACTGATAAGATGGTAATGGCGAACCAACCAGATATCGTGATCATAGATCAAGGGCAGAGGAAAGCCGTTGTAGTGGATGTAGCGGTCCCGAGTGATGGAAACATCAGAAAGAAGGAACACGAGAAACTCGAGAAATACCAAGGGCTCAGAGAGGAGCTGGAGAGAGCCTGGAAGGTAAAGGTGACAGTCGTGCCTGTGGTGGTCGGAGCACTCGGAGCAGTGACCCCCAAACTAGATGAGTGGTTGCAACAGATCCCGGGAATAACATCGGACATCTCAGTCCAGAAATGTGCAGTGCTGGGAACAGGATACTACGCAGAACCCTCAAGCTTCCTGGCCTCTGGTAGAGGACCCGAGCTGATGAGGGATGGACACCACCCGAGGGGTGAGACGAGGATTTATATATATATATGCATGCACATTAAATTGATTCACCAAATACATTCATGACATTGTCTAATTGCGTTTATACAAAGTTTTACTGGTACTTAAATGGATTTAAGTGTGACTTTATTCTAGCTTTCATTCTGTGATGGGAAAATGAAGCATAAAGCTTCATGAATGAGTTGATTCCTCAAGATGGCAATTTTGTTGTAAAGAAAAGGGGTTCAAGAAGTGCCCCGTCAGTGTGTTTTCATTTCTATGTTGAATAGAGCGTGCCATTTAAAGGGCTCGATATGAACAAAAAACTGGTTCATGAAGCACCTTGAATCTTTATTTTCCTAACACTAGTTTCATTAGTGTGTAAGAGTTGATGACTATAAGTTTTGCAAGTTGTTTCTTTACTGGTGTTAAATTTTAATTGCCATGAACCAACAAATGTCGCAGTTTTTCATGTTTTGACTTTCTGTCTAAATGCGATAAAATGTTGAATTCCTTCAGCTTTTTTTCGTGCATGTAAATTTGCTGAGTGCGGAGTACCGTATTTTCACGACTATAAGGCGCCATTAAAAGTCTTAAATTTTCTCCAAAATGGACAGGACGCCTTATAA